CCCCCCCCCCCCATTCTCAGAAGGACTGTATGATAAATATTGATCTGCAGGTTTATCATACTGGAATATTGTGATGCTGACCTAACAGATAGTAAACTCCTTTTTAGGACAAGTCCAGTGAGGTACATTGAGCTCTCACATTCCCCTGTGACTGGAAAACAATATCCTTCAAGCTCAGATAGGGCAGAGATTGGATATTAAAACTCTCAACTTGACACAGACCATTATGAACTTCAGCAAGCTTTTGGCTTTCCTTGACATAAAGATGACCTGCCTGAAAGATTGGCATTGTTATGACTCTGTCCTTGCACTTGGTCATTATTCTTTGGAGGAGGTATCACTTGAAAAGCTATTTTTAAAGAGCGTGGCAGCACCAGGGGTCATGTTCTTGTGAAATGAGAGCCAAACATAATATCAGTTGCTCACTACTCACTTGGTGTCACTCCTTGGTAAGGATGGTTGGTTTGAGGTAGGGCCCAGTGCAGAACCGAGGCCTGGACTATTCATTCTGCTGAGTGCATTTCTTAGCACACAAGATCCTGCTGTCACCAGATCCGGATGGACTGCATGAAATATAACTGCTCACACAAACGTTGTTTTTGTCAGAGTGCCGTGCCAATTTTTATGTTCTTCTTTCAGTTATCCTTTCTCTGGTTTATATTTCAGGGTGTTTACTTGCGTAAAACAAGTTAAGCAGCAGCAGAGGCTTACAAATAACCCAAATAAATGAACTGTGTTATGATACGTGCCCTGTCCCTTGCCAACAGTGTTTTGAATTTTTGCTCTGAGAGCACAAAGGGCAAATATCTCAGGGCAGTCAGTACCAGGTGATGACTTTTTTTTTCCCCTGAGAGTTTGCAGCTGCCCATCATAGTGCTCACGGTGCAAGGAAGCAGCCAGGAAGCCCTTCGCTGCCCATCCTCAAAGCAAACAGAGCAGTGAACTCTGTGGGAGCCTGATTCCGTTTGAGACCTCTGGGTGTTAAATAATTCAGGAATGAATAAATAATAATAATCAGAAATATTTCACTAGCCTTACATAGCTGTCTTATCTGTGGGATAGAGCTAGCTCTAGGCAGTCTCCATAATTCAGGAAATGGCTTATTTTTAACTCATAGCTGAGAAATGATTGGATAAAAACACTTCCTTCAATTCATTTACTAAAACCAGGAGCTGCAATAGCTTTCATGCCCTCAAGTGCTTGTTACACTCAAAACTGAGTGACTTTCTCTCCCATTATTTCTCCTCAGAAGCATACAGTCCCTTTCAGCTAGAGAACTGTTAATATATCGATCAACACGCTGGGCCCCTCACTCATCCTTACACGAATAGAACACAGGGGAACAGAAAGTAATGCCTTGCTATTGCAGCTGTGACCTCCACGGTGCATATTTGACCTCCCAGGAAATCAGCTTTCTGCCTCAGTTGACAGGCAAGATAAAAAATATTAATAACAGCAGACGATGCTCAGAACCTCATAGGAAACGTTTCTCACCTTCTGGTGCTGGACCTTCGTTAGTTTTTCTTTCTTCCTTTGAAACTCAATTCTTTTGAAGATGGAATAAGTGCACAAAGTCAAAGGGTAAAAATTAGGTTGCCAAAGAGAATTCTAGCTTTTAACCTACTGCTCATTGTTTAACCATTTCAAACCAGCTTGAATAGAAAGCTGTCAAGTCAAAATGGGAGATAAGCTGTGGTGCCATGCTGGAAGACAGACACCAAATTTACTGTCTAACCAGTAAGTGAAAGTAGGCAGAGCAGAACTGCTCTGTTGGCTTTCAAAACACTGTTGACTGTTTTATTTGATAATTCAAATTAAATTTGGACCCACCTTTGTGCAAACCTATGGATGTAAGTTTCTAGAACAGCAAAACCTTGATGTTCTATGAGAAACAGTTATTTAAGGCCTTTTTTTCTTGCTAACACATTTTTATATTTCTTACCTTGATGGACCTGATCTTCTCAGATAAAACGTTTGTTTTTTTCCCTTGGTCTATGCATGGAGAAGGCCAAACACAAACTAACCAAAAAAAAAAAAAAAAAAGGACATTCAAAGAATTTTTTTTCTTGAAACTTCTCCATTTTTTTCCTGAAATTTCTAAAAACATTTAAAAATAAACAAACGATTCCAACAGTGTTAGTTGTGAAAGTGAAGGTTTCCCTTCACTCCTTCTTTTCGCTTCACTTTCCTTGAAAAAGTGTGGTTGAAGCAAAATATTCTGCCAAGTCTACTGTGTTTATCTGTTATCTGTCTTTCAGAGATTATCTGAAAACCCTGCTTGATTCATGCTATTTATTTGCTTTAATGGCCAGTGACAAATATGATATTAGATACTTACAATGAACAGCAACACTGCAGATTCTCTGTGCCCTGAAGGAATTCTAATATTGAGTATGACACACTGACTGCCAAAAACTTCAGGAAAAAGGGAATTCAAGAATAATACTGATGAACAGGGGAGTGATTCTGGTTATGCAGACTCCTTTCCTTATGGGCACCAGTGAATTGATTCTTCAGAGCCCAGTGTTATGTAGGACTTCATCATCATGTGTTTTCCCCATGCAGAATCACCTTCTCAATGACAGGTTATGTGAGAAATTGAGTTGAAATAAGGGAGGCTTCTTACTCTGCCCAGGTGAATAACAGCATCAAGGCTGTTAGTAAGGCAAATATTAGGATTTCATTCCCATACGTTTTAAAATTAATTTACAGCAATGTTATATTAGTAGGGACCTATCAGTCTATTGCTTTCAAGTTCCAGGCAAACCTTTCTAATCAGCTAACCAGAAGAACAGAACTGCTGATGTAAACACTGTGATTCTATGTTTGTTGTGAGCCTCACGCTGTGTCTCTTAGTTTATAACTGCTTTTTTTTTTTTTTTCTTAATAATTTCAGCACGGAATTATACCCGATTTGTAGCATATCTCAGGCTAAGCAAGACCTTGATGAGCAGACTGGCAAAAAGAAACACAGACGATCTGCAGCTGAAGATTATATTTCCCATTATGGCACACGTTTTGGCCCTGCAGAGAACGAATTTGACTATGGCTTGTGCAACGAAGTCATTAATGTGGCTTGCTCACCCAAACCTGATGCCTTCAATCCGTGTGAAGATATCATGGGATACAACGTTCTGAGAGTTCTGATATGGTTTATCAACATTTTAGCTATCACTGGGAACACCACTGTCCTCATTATTTTAATAAGCAGTCAATACAAACTCACTGTACCTCGCTTTCTAATGTGCAATCTTGCATTTGCAGATCTCTGCATAGGTATCTATCTATTGTTTATCGCATCGGTAGATATCCAGACCAAAAGCCAGTATTACAACTATGCCATAGACTGGCAAACTGGGGCAGGATGCAATGCTGCAGGATTTTTTACTGTTTTTGCAAGTGAACTCTCAGTCTACACACTGACTGTGATAACTCTGGAAAGGTGGCATACCATTACCTATGCCATGCAACTCGACCGCAAGGTTCGACTTCGGCATGCTGTGATCATAATGATTTTTGGCTGGATGTTTGCTTTCACGGTGGCACTTCTTCCCATATTTGGCATCAGCAGCTACATGAAGGTCAGCATCTGTTTGCCCATGCATATAGAAACACCATTTTCTCAGGCTTATGTTATATTTCTTTTAGTGCTGAACGTACTCGCTTTTGTGATCATCTGCATCTGCTACACCTGCATCTACTTTACTGTGAGAAACCCCAATGTTATCTCTTCAAACAGTGACACCAAAATTGCCAAGCGCATGGCTATACTGATCTTCACAGACTTCCTCTGCATGGCACCAATATCTTTTTTTGCAATATCAGCTTCACTCAGGGTTCCTCTCATCACGGTGTCCAAATCCAAGATCCTTCTGGTTTTGTTTTACCCTATTAATTCCTGTGCTAATCCTTTCCTCTATGCCATTTTCACAAAGACTTTTCGCAGGGATTTCTTCATTCTGTTGAGCAAGTTTGGTTGCTGTGAAATGCAAGCGCAGATTTACAGAACAGAGACTTCCTCATCTGCTCATAATTTGCACACAAGAAATGGCCATTACCCTACCGCATCAAAAAACAGTGATGGGACTATTTATTCACTGGTTCCTCTGAAACACTTGAACTGAAATGCTTGCATGAATTTGTGTCTGAGGCAGTGTGATAATCACTTTCAACTATTTGAATAATGACTTCGACATAGCATGCAAACTTATTTTTTATGAGAAAACATTTCTATTTCCACTTTGCTTTTTTGTTCATCAGCAGAGATGACACATCGTCTTCATTACTTCTTGAAGGACAAAGAACGAAACTGCAGTATATGTCAAAGTGTCCTTGTAGAATTGTGTCTGGAAATAAATGAGCTTATAAATGCATATCTCCTACTATACAGGCAGAGATTCCCCTCAGTCTAGAAAGATGTCAGCTGCTTACTGAGAATGAAGTAATGGTTAAATGTGGTCAAAAGGGGGGGAAAAAAAAAAAAGTGGAATTATTTTTGTTGGCTGTGAAATGTGTTGGAACAATGACAAATAAATAGCTTTTTTCATTAACCTCAGAAGATATGGTTACAGAAGACAGAAGCCCAGTTTAATGCCCTCCCAGGACTGTGTTGATCAAGACAGGTGGGCCTAAAGAATCAGATTTCATACGAATTTCTAACAGTTTTGTTTAGCTGAAATTTTGTTTCTGAGACAAGAGAGGAAGAAAAAGAGCAGAAGGAATCCTTCATAATAATCATTTCTCAATTTGATTTAATAAAGTTGGGTTAAAATTGCTTTTACAGGGCTGGATCCCTTGAGTATGGCAAGGTGAGCCAATGGGTACTCTTCAAGACTGTAAGAGGCATTGCAGGCCTGTACCATCCCCTTCACGGGACACTGGTCCTTTTATAGCTGCTTTCAAGGTAGCTGTTTGTGGTTGTTTCTTTTTTCTTTTTTTTTTTGAATTGAAAAAGCAGCGTAAGAAAAAAATGCAAGATGTATTTTATTCATGCCTGCAATGCCCGAAAAGCCTGCTGGTTTCTTCTCACCACTGAACAATGTGTTTTATGTGTGTAATCTTTAAACTATTTTGCATTTTCCATTCTGAAATCCATTTTAATAAAACCAATATCAAAACAAAGTGCCTTGAGAACAACTGTACGGTCAGAGATATGCTGATGAAGTAAGCAATTAACGTTACTGCTTATCTGGAGAGTTCCATTTATGCAGCACAGCCTCCACAATTGGGTCACTGTGACCTATGAATGAGACTTGCCTGATGAAAGCCTCCACAATGAAAAAACCTGCAGTCTCTCAGAGAGTTAAGGAAGCACAGAAAGATATGCATGTCTGAAACTTGTTAAATAGGTATCTTTGCAGCACTGACATATCCTTGTTTTAACAAATCTTTTCCATTAATTCTCATTTCCTATGTTGCAAGACATAAACTATTGATAGAACTTGAGTTTTAGTCATTTAATATATATGTATTTAAACTATTCAATTTATAGAAATTACTCTTCTCAGATTAGGCAGTTGTCTGTTTTCTCCTCCAACAACCAAGGCACTACAAGTGCCAGTCAACTATAAGTTCAGGCTTCTGTTCAGTGTGCAAGAGATGAGCCACAAGTAGCAAGGAAACAGTCTTTGTTTTCTCTGGCACAAAGGAAAGCCTTGTAGTTATTCTAACCTAAAGCCCACTGCCAGCTTGCTCCACAGGCCATCTGACAACTGACAATATCGTAATGTCTTCTGGTTTTCCTCCCTACCCTTAAGGATTTGAGATGGCATAATCCACCCAGAAAGAGCTGCTTCTTTGGGCTGTCATCCAGTGGCGGAATTCCTGGGTGTGACACAGCTTGTGTCACTGCACTGTGTAAGTAGATTGCTCACTAAGCAAGGCTAAGTCCTGATCATCTCTCCCAGCCCCATCAACCTCCAGTAACACATAGACTCACACAGAGAAAGATAAAAAAGGAATGCAAGTGTTGAATAAACAGAAGGACAATGACATGCTGGAGACCACTTGGAATATGAGCTGAGCATGAGCTCATTACAAGCACCAGGATAACATTTAACTGGTTTGAATGGACTGAGCACAGGGCCCAAAATGGCAAGTAGGCCAACTGAAGAGTAGAGAGGGTATTTCAGTGAAAACCAAAAAACTACATAAACATCTTTTCTGTTAAACTTTTTTTTTTCCTTCTCTGTTTTAACTAGATTTAAATTTCATGTGAATGATTGCTTGACTAGTCCCAGACTCTGAAAGCAGTCCCAGATGCCACTCTAATGGTGCAAATTTGCCTTACATTTCACTCCCCGCCAACCCCAGAAAATGCCCGGTTCTAGAAGTATGCCTGCCTTTGGTCTCATAGTGCCACTATCAGAAATTACGTAGATTGTGCTGAAAGTGAATTTACTGCCCTTGAGGACACCATAAAGTTCTTCATTTGCCTGATAGAAGCATCTCTCCTTCAGGCATGTACCTCTAGAAGAGCCCCTACCTGACCTCCCCAGGAAGCACATATCTGGAGTTGTGATGGGTAGTGAAAAATGGGGTCACTACCTCAATAGGCTAAAGGTCACAGCATGAACATTGTCACCATGGGTAAAAGTAATGGGAGCATCTGGTCAAAAGCATCAATAAAAGCAAAAATCTGACTCGGTAGAGAAAATGAACTGTGAGCCATTTTCTTTACAGCATTTGCTCTGGGGGTTGCACAGATACAACCAGGGTTTGCTCATTAGAAGGCAGGTCTACATTTGAGCTTGTTAGGAATGCAGGATGAGGCTTTGCATCCCATTTAGCAAGCCTGCAAATCATCTGACCACATTTCTTTCCTGTAGATTCCCTCCTAATCATTCCACTGAGGACACAGCAGATAATCTTACATTTAATTTATGCAGCTTTGTTGTTGAGAAGAGTTAATAATGCAAAATGATTTATCCTTGGGGAATAATCTGACCACCCTCCCCCCCCCTCCTGGAAAGAAAGAACAGAAAAGGAAGGTGCATCCAGTTCAAATGGTCAGGTAACCAAAGGCAAACCTCCTCACATGTTTGCATTCTTAATTTGAGCACGCGTAATCTCCCATTACATATTGCAAATGTGAACTGCATGCAAACTCTTCTTCAGAGTGAGCTTTTAGTCAAAGTTAGCTGCAGACACATATTTGAAAATCTGGGTCTTGTTTCTTTAAAATATTCATGCACAGGAGCAGGATTTTACAGCTGTCATCTGGATAATTAAACTCTTCATTAACAGTTGTTCTGAAACCAGTAGGTGACCTTTAATTAGGGATGAAAGTACTCAGGAATGGATTTCAAGCATTAAAAAATGCAGAGAACTCCCTCTCTTCCCTCATCTGTTGAAAACCTTTTGTAAAGCATCAGTTTTCCAAGAGAAATAATGCTGGGTGAGACAAACGTGCTTCCAAGTGTAATACAACAGACGAATGCTTCACCTAGCTTTACTGTAACTAAAATTTGTAATTATTTCTCTGTCTCATACATCTTTTGCCATATGTCACCTGGATCTTTGCTACCTCAACCTCAACACCAGCAGACAGATGTATTCACACCAAAAAAAAAAAGAGCCATAAAAATTAACAAGGACACAACGAGAACAGTGCACAGATCGGAATGTGCTGTATTTGTGGGTGGGTGAAAGACTGAAGGGCAGGACGGAGCAAGATAGACTTTTTTGTTGAGTCTTCTTAAGATCCAGTGCTAAAATTCTGCACTAATGGGGCCATTCTGGAGGAATGCAGCTCCTAGGCAACAAACAATAGGAATGCACATGGGAAAATCTTATGGAGAGAGAAATCTGAAATGAAGTTCCAGTCAGGGGTTGGCCACTATGGAGATTCATTAGGTATCCTTGGTAGAGTGAGAGGTGGTCACAGTGTTGTGGTTATAATTAGAGATATATTATCACATGAAGAAGAAAATAACAATCACCGTATCTTAACTACAATTTCTAGCACTTATCCCACAGTAGCACAGTATTTCTGGAATTCTGACTTACACATGCTTCTCAGGGCACCTCAGCAGACCCTCTGCAGATCAGGTCAAACTCCTATCAAACAGCACACGACGCAGCCATAACCCAGGCTCAGGCTTTATGTAAAGACCACAAGTCACTCAGTGCTCAGAGGAAGAAGAAGGCACATCCCTGGTCACTAGGTATCATGGGATTTGCCACGGAAATGTAATATACAAAATATTTTGTATATGCTGACTCCGTGAAAAGGAGAGCAATTGCATTAGGTGCCATCCAGGCTACAGACAGCACCATTACCAGTCTCCTTTGCATTGCAATTCAGTGTATTTCTTGTGAGTTACAAAGGTCTGATTAACTTTAATTCTTCCAGCTGCTTCTTTTCTTGACCAAGCTGTATGGGCAGGCATGTGCCCCTGAACAACTGCCTCAGCTTTTCCCCATCTTGGTTCTTCCCAGGAGAAGTGGTTCATACTGCCTGTGCCCAGCAATGCTCTGCTTTTACCTGCCATCCTCTATTAGCAGAATACCTGCTCCTCAGAAGTATTGCTTCAGAAATCAGCAGCGAGAAGTTCAAAAGTCTGCTCATTGTTCACTCTGTACAGAGTGAACTTGTCTTTTTATGTTGCTTTCCAGTTTCTCTTTGCTATTTTAGCTATTTTTTGAGTGATTGCTGTGAGGATAACTAACCCTTGCCCAAGCTTCAAATGTTCTGCTTTGAAGGAGTCTCTGTTTGAGACAGCTGACATCAATAAATCAGGGTGAAACACAGATTCCCCTCCCTGCCTGCTGCAGATTCCCTGGACTTTGTTGGAAAAAAAAACTGATTTTTACTGATTCAGTTTTCTTTCCCTCATGCCACAGATGTCTTGGCAGCAGGAGGCATTCCCTAGTGAAAAGCCAGAGAAAGTGGGGCCATCAAAAATTAGAAAAGTAAAGCCAAACTAGGGCAGCTTTCAATGGGCCTCCACATTCCCCCAACACTGCCTGATGCCACTTCAAGTGGCATCTTTTCTCTCTTTTTCAAATTTCCTGGACCAAAATTGGCACTAAAACAGGATTCACCCTAACTTGCTGTCTCTACCTACATCCTATTACATAATACAGTACCAAAATTTCAAGTTAGGTACTAAGAACAGTATTTATATTACCTGCACTAGCATCCTATGTTCCTCAGCAGAGCCAACTTGCCTAGACCTGGCAAAAATTGAGTTGAGCTAGATGTCTTTCCCACAGGTATTGAGGCCATATCTCCATGGCACTGCATTTTTTGCCATATTGACTTAACCAAGATTTGTTTTATATCCAACGACTCCAGTTTCTCCTATTACCCTGCCTTTCACCAGGACTACAGATTCTCTCCCTTCAACAACTGCTGCTACTCACACCACCACTTTTAGCATCAGTTTTCCTTCCTTCCAGGGACAGTATTATCTTTTCATGTGCTTACACTGGAGTTACAAGACTCATTAGTCACTTAAAAAAACATCCAAGGCATTACAGTTTTTTTTCTTTCCACATAAAGGTGTTGTTTACATCTTGGAAATGCTCTGTCTACAAAATGTTCTTCCATTCAACACCATCACAACTACCACTCAGCTTCAGTGCAGGTGCTTTAGCATGCAGTTCCTGAAGGCACCAGTCAGCAGTGTTTTTGGACTTGGTTCCACTGTCGCTTGTGCATCTATGCCAATTAGACAAGGGTCGTCACTCTTGCCTCTTCAGAAATGATTTTTGACTGCCCTGACTGTAGGTGTTAGTCCTACTACAGCGTTCAGCCATGCAAGCAGAAGAGATTTGCTTTTACCCAGGAGAAAAGTCATTCGAAAGCTAAGTGAAACTGGGGAGATAACAGGCAACCTGTGTTCACAAAAGCCTTATCATTACTCAAAGACTTCAAAGAGCAACAGAAGGGCTGCCAAATTGTAAATTAAGTACTTACAATTTGGTAGAGCTCTACTTGTTGCTGTAGGTGAAACATTCTTTCCTTTGGATATCACAGAATCCCTGTTGCATACATCACATAGCATCACAGGGCAGTTTTCACCACTGCTAAGTTGCGTCCCAGATCTCATGCTGTCAGTGCTGCCTTCTTTTAGCACTGTGGAACACCTTGTGTGAAACTAGCACACACCCC